CTCATTTACTGCTGTCTAAATCATTCACCTTTTATTTTCTCTCACATGCAAATCAGTATCTATCTGCTTCTCGTGGAAATAACCAATCCCATATAACACTATGCCCATCTATTCTTGTATCCAAGGAAAGTTCATAGCTCAAAATATGTCCCCATTTGATGACTTCGGAGACCTCTAAGGGACTCCTATTTTCTACATAGACCCTTTCTCATATGCAACTCTACCCATTAGGGCTAACTTCATCATTCTCATAGCAACTGCTAGTGTGATGAAGAAGACTTATACCTCATTTGTCCCTAGTGAAGTCAACCCAACTAAATTAGATTTGCTAAGTCTTCAGTAAGCAACTATATTTCACTCGATATTATGCAGTGTGGGAAGAATGGAATCGAATTAATTCAGCCCTGGTAAGCCTTAAAGATCTAACAACTAGAAATAAAGATTTGTATAAAATCAAGAGCTAGATCGTACCAGTCGAACTCTCAGTGGCATGAGAGTTTATAAACTAAGAAACATAGGTGAGCAAGGTAAGTCAAGGAAGGGTTCAAGAAATAAGCAGTCTAGCTTGTGGACTCCCATAGACATGCAGGCTTTGGGCTGGAGGAGCTGAGTGCGACAGACATTTCCACCAGTGTGAAGAACACAGAGATACTCAGGTGTGAGTTTGGGATGGGAAGGGTCTTGAGAAATCTGGGTTGAAAGGTGACCTCTGTGAATTTAAATATTGACTCTTGCAACTCAATCACTGAACCCCTAAGTTCACTTGATATTCTAGGAAGTAGAAAATAAAGAGGAAGAAAATATTTTCATGATGCATGATTGTCCCTATTTGATTTCTACGAACATTAGCAACATCTTAATGATGCCAGCTAACTTCACCCAGAGACTTTGATCTCTCTGCATCATCCCCAAACTATTGAGGCCTCTTCTCTGCCTGTTGAAATATTGTGATGTGGTTTGTATATGGGCTATAAGTGGCACATAGGCTATTCATACAGCACTTAGCAGTTTATGAAGCTCTCCTTCATTTACTTCATCCATCCTCACAATTATGCTGTGAAACATTATGAAGTAGTTATTATAGAAACAGAGGTTCAAAACGTGTTTTTCCAATACAAAATGATTAATAAACTAGTGCTTGAAGTCAAGTTTTCTGAAATCCAATGATATATATACCACGCCAGTGATATATATACCACACTCAAACTTGGTATATGTCCTTACAAAAGGAGGAAAAAATTACCTCTCAAGACCTCTCCCCATATGAGAGGTCTGTGATTATTTTTATTGTAATAATAAGTTATTAGTAATATTAATTATTAGTTTATTTCTAAATAAACTAATAATTAATATAAGGTATAATTATTCTATTATAATCTTTCTTAAATCTGCTCAAACATAAAACCAGATAAACCTATTATGGTTATAACTCTTAAAGAATTATAAAACTAAAATAAAAATAAAAGTAAATTTTAAAATATTTTAAAATACAAGTAAAAAATAAATACAAGTAAACTATAATAGGTTATAATAACAACAACATATTGGATGATGTTTGGCTGAATCAAGTCACTATGCACACACGCACACACACAAAAAGGTATATTGCCTGCGTGGACATGTGTCCTTCTGAGTGCCGCACCCCTACTCTGCAGTGTCCAAAGTGCAGACAATTCTCCCACCACTTTCCTAGTATTTCAACCACTGCAAAATCTTCCACTGCTCTGCTCGCCTGGAACGAATGAATCATTTATGAATTAAGCTTCCATGTCTTAAAATCGGCTTATTTATAAACACAAACATGGAGACTGGAGACAATGGCAGCATTCTGTTCTAAGAAGGTCATCTCTACATGTATTATGCATTTGAAAGGGATACCACCAGGAAGAAACATGGCTGGCCTATAAATCTGCCTCTCTGTATTTTCCTCATATGCAAGGCAATTACTAGAATCGTGATGTCTAATATACTAACCACCAGTCACATGTCACTATTTACATTTAAGTTTAAGTTAATTAGAATTAAATAAAGTTCAGTTCCTTAGTCACATTAATCACTTTTCAAATGCTCAATAACCCCATGTGGCTAGTAGCTGCCATATTGGATGGCACAGACATAGAACATTTCCAACATCACGACAAGTTCTATTGGATAGTGTATGTCCTAGATGCTATAATAAACTCTCTGACACATCAAAGTATATAGTTCTGACTTTGAGGAAGCTCAGGCTCTTGCACACATAAGGCTCTCCTGGGCCTCTTGACAGGTGTGCTTTGGAGTGGAGGTGGGGATTACTAGTTACAGCCTTGAAGCAGGACTATGTAAAACCAAAAGACTGAACAAAACTCACACCCTACAGCTGGCACCTACGACCTGCTGCTGATTCCCTCTTCTTTGTGGGGTATAGTATGCTCGCCAGAATACTGCCACTCTTTGTAACACACACAGCTGCCCTGCCTGTCTAGCTCAACACTGATGGAATCTATATGACCCTGAGTGTGTGAGGATTCATTTCCAGGGGTTCGCTGGGTAAAAAGGGACAAGTCATGAAATAAAATTGCAGGAGAAGGTCCTGTCTACTCATGCAGATTATCTACCTCAAAGCTCCATGACTCAAAATTTCTCATATTTTTTTAGCATAATCCTTTGGATTATAGATCAGACTCTATATGCCCAGGCTTAGAAGGTGGAGTGATAAAAGGTAGGGAATCAGTAAATTTATTTATTTATGAACTCTTATTCAATAATTCGTTTATTCTCCTCTCCTCTTGTCAGAAAATCCAAGAAGGGATCCAAGAGAGCTTAGAGTCTCTTCTTGTCTGTACTTAGTGGTCCCCTACCTCAAGCTCCCCTGTGATTCTTCCCTATGTTTTTCTCAAAAGACATAATAAAAGCAAAAAGTCTCCTCAAAACCTATTTTGAATGAGAGGGAGAGACCACCAGTCAGAGATAGGCACCCTCCCCAACTACCAGCATGGCTTGGATTTAGAGACTAGAGCTGCACGGTCTAATACAAATTTGATGGGAGCCACATATGTAATTTTAGATTTTTCCAGTAGTCACAATAAGGAAGAAAAAAGAAACAGGTGCATTTAATTTTAATATTTTATTTAACCCAATATATCTAAAATATTATCATTTTGACATGTAATCAATATTTTTAAGTTACTAATGTGACAATTTACATTCTTATCATTCATATTAGGTCTTCAAAATCCAATGTATATTTTAAACCTACAGCACAGCACATCTCAATTCAAACTAACCACATCTCACATGCTCCATAGCTACATGCAGAGTGACTACTGAACCGGACTGTGCATGTCCCCAGGAATCTGGTTCTCCAAGGAAAATCTAGTCCATTGAATTCCATTTTAAAATTTATTTTCCATTGAAGTCAATCTCATTTTAGTAACCTGACCCACTTACAACATCTATGGGTCCTTTTGTATTTTTATCGCCATCCAAATGGTATTTGTAAATGCTTCCCAGTTACCATCATCATGTTAAATAACACTCAACTCTCAATCTACCTCAGGTCAATATGTGCCTCCATCAAATCAAAATACCACTCCCTTTTTGTCATTTCCAATTTGCGAATCGTGTTCTACTCCCAATTTGCACTAGTTTGTGAGAAAAATGCTGAGAACTGCCAAGGTGAATAATAGCATTTTACATATATCTTTCTTCCAAAAATCTTGGCACTCTGGACAGATTTCAGCTCATTGCTCCTAACTACATACCTGTTTGGTAGAAAAGGGAGAAACATAAAAATAAAAATTCAAGGAGGAGTAGGAGTTGAACTGTCTTCTTGTTCAACCAACCAAATTCTTATGGAGCAGGGCAATGCTTTCATTTAACAGTTGGCAAAAGACAGCCTTTCTTCACATTTTCTCTCAGTTCCTGTGCCGTGAAAGAAAATCAGTCACCTGTAAACCAACCTCCCTCCTTATTCCTCCAAGAGAGATGGTGGGAGGATAAAAGCCTAAATGCCACTTAAACAGAAATGAGCAGCTCGGATGCCGCCCCAACCAGAGTACAAAGAGGTCAGGGCTGAATTTAAGGGGTCAGAGAAGCTAGTTTGAGGGTGTACATTTTTTAAATCCTCTATCACCCTCCTTTTTATTTTTTCCTAGGAAGAGTCCCGATTTTAAAAATCTAGGTTTTCCTTGTAGTGAGAAACAGATTCTTTATTCAAAGGCGCAATGGTGGATTGATAGAGAAAAGGTGGGTCACGGCTAAGATGAAGGCCCCACAAGGACGTGGCTTCCCAGTTCACCGTGGGAGGAGCTCAGGCCATCACTGGATACTGAGTACATCCAACAAAAGGCCATATCAGGCCATCACTGGATACTGAGTACATCCAACAAAAGAAGACTTCAGTCACCTGTCCAAACAATAAAATCTGAAGTCTTTTTGGTTCCTTTGGTACTAGGTTCTTCTTTGTAGGGCTTCCACTCCCAACTTTAGTTTCTACTAGTTCCCTGGACAAAACTCCTGTTCTCACCAGACCAGCCTCACTGCTCCCTGCACTCTCACAGGCCACTTCACTACAGATAAGCCTATTCGACCACCTCACACCAAACTGACACCTTTTCCCAAACGTGTCCCATATCTTTATCTCCTTAGTACCTCTCCATGTAAATATCGTTTCCCCACTTAACTATAAGTTCCTAAAGGGCTGAGACTTAAGACCATGGTTTAGTCATCCTTGAATCTCCCCACAGAAGCTGGTACAATGCTTTCTTCACAGGCCACCTTGAAGGTGTGAATGTTGATGAAACTGACATTGAGAACGGAGATGAGTGTGGTTCTGCAGTCATACACCATCATCACCCACCACAAAATCCTGTAGCCTAAATCACTTCCCGGTGTCAGTAAGAGGAATATATGGCTCAGAGCCACAGAATTGGCTCAAACTGCCCAATTCAAAACCAGGTCTTTTTTATTTTTTTTTTATTTTTTTTTTTAACATTGTATTTATAATCAAAGTTCGAGCTGCTCACCCCAGGTCTACCATAATGGAATGGAAGGAAAGGGTACAGGAAACGCAGACAGAGAAGAGGATGACATTCATTCACTCAACTGAACACACACACACACACACACACACACACACACACATACACACACACAGAGCACCGATGGACAGTGAAGATGCTTATACATCCATTTGTAATAGCAAAGACAGTCTGCGTCTCCCAGAAGATGCCTCTGGTAGCTAATCCATCTCTGCTGGGAAGCTGAGGCTCCCGAGGCTTCTATAACTCAGGACGTTGAAGTAGTCATGCTGCTCAGCATAGTCATCTCCCCTCTGCTCTCTGTAAAGACCTGCAGGCACAACTTCCACCTGGACACAGCTTCCATGGGGTGACAGCATACTGGGGCCCCACTCCTCCTGTGCAGATGCCGGTCTCCTGAGGTCACTTTCTACAGAATGGGTTCTGAGAAATTTCTTCTAAAAACAAACAAACTACAAAGTGAGTATGTAGGGATGTTATTCAAAAGTTACTCCCCAACATGATACATAATTATGATCCCTCTCTTCCTTACTTACACACACACACACACACACACACACACACACACACACGGGCAAAATTATGTTCTTACCAACACCAATTCTTTAACCCTTAATTTCTCAGCCTTGTCACAGTCAGATTTCAGCACTGATCACTGCACTAAAACGCCACTTGCTACATATGCAATGTGCCTTACACCCCATTTCTTCCTATTCTCTCAGCTTAATGAGGCAGCTTTCAGTCCCCTTTCTCTCTTACTCTTTACTGCACCTGACGTGGACTTCTTCTTATTTTTAAATGTTCTCCTTCTGTGGCTTCCATGGTATCGCTCTTTCCTGGCTCTCCTCCCCCTTCTGTGAACCCCACCTTCCTCTTCAGTCAGCCCTGCTCTCTTTTTACTGCCTACACATTAGTTCCCCAAATAAAGGGGTTTCCAAGGGTTCTGTCCTCTGTTCTCACATTCAGCACTCTCTCCTAGCCACCTCATCTAAATGCACATTTACAACCACCTTCATTCCTCTGAAGATTCCCAGATCTCTATCCGAACCAGCCAGATTTCTGTCCTGCGCTCCAGACCCAGATGCCCACCTGCCAACTGGACATGGCCACCTGATGATCTACAGCAAGCTCGGACTCAACCTTTCTCAAAAGAACCCATCAGATTCCCTCCTCCACAAATTGTCACTACCCCCACAGCCTCTGTCCTGGTTTATGGCACCAGCTGACCAGAAACCTGGAGGCTAATGTTAAATTCTAATGAGCCATAAAATCCCATCCTGTTTTATTCCCAAGTAGCTCTGAAATCTATTCCCTCTTTCTCATCCCTACTTCCATGTCTTATCTCTCACCTGTACCTCTATACTCACTTGCCTCTAGAGTGCCTCTTACCTCTAGCCCAATTTCCACACGGCCACCAGCAGAGTGATCTCTCAAAAATGAAAGTTGGATCATGCCATGCTTCTGCCTAAAAACTTTCGCTGGCTCCTGTTGTCTAAAGGAGCCACAGGAGGACTTCAACGAATTTGTAAAACCACTTAAATGGTATAAAAAACATTATGTGAGGGTGCATTCTTCTGGGAAGGAAGTCTATACTTAACTGCATTCCCCACTCAAGACTGTGTGCGATGCTCCCCCAAAATGCCCTTTGTGACTTGGCCACCCTCATCTTTCCAGCTTCACGTCCTGCAGTGCTTCCCTAACCAATGCCCTTGTGGCGTAGGGCCTGATACCAGAGAGATACCATTTCTTGAGAATGTGCTATGAGCACGGACTGAGCTAGCTTCTCACGCGATCTCAGCAACACTCCTTTTGAAGTTTCTACTTTTGAGTGAGCTAATAGGCACAGGCAGGTGCAGTCACTTGCCTGAGGACAAATCCAATCCTGACCTAGGTTCGTCTGACTCCAGGACATGCTCTTTGTCCTCGGCAAGCTGCCTCTCATCTTACAGCTTCTAGAATGCCAGGCACTGTTTCCTGCCTCTCCAGTTTTGTATATGTTGCACCCATTGTCCATCCCCTGTAGTTCCCTGAAAAAAGTTGTCTACTTAGTCTTCCAAACTCAGCTCCACAGCACGTTGTCCAAGAAGCCTTCTCTGACATTCCCAGGAGAGCTACATTTTCCCCCATGTGCTAGAATATGGTCCTGGATGTTCTCTGCTGTAACACTGAGTGCTATCTGGAACTTACCTGTTTACCTGCTGTCTTCTCCGGGCCCCAAACTGTGAGCTCCCTGATGGAAGGGTCTGTGCTGTGTTCCACTTTGTAACCTCAGAGCCCATAACAGATGTTCAGTCTTAGGACTGAAATGCACGTGCACACATGCACACGCACACCCACACACACACACACACATTTTTCTACAGCCCCATACCTAAAAGAATTGGCTTTTCCAAATCAAAGTAGGGACTCATGGTCAGACAACTACAATTGCATTTGTGGGATAACAGGCCAGAACAGTGAAATCTGTTGAGGAGAATCAAGGATGTGAATGAAGTCAGCCATCACATCCATATGAGAGCATCATAGGTGAGGGTTCTGCAAAGGCAAGGAAATCAAAAAACAGCAGGCACAAACAGGATGGCAGAAGAAATGCTTACTGACACCCAATGCAAAGATGACAACTTCTCAGCCTTACCGGACACTGCTCTAAAACAGGTCACTCATCCCCACTGTAGGTCTGAATGACAGAATCACAAAGAGCCACATACAGGCTTGGAAAACAATAGCAAACCAAATTTCATTCTGCTTTCCCCCCACTGCTTCCAAGATAGGAAACACCATTCTCAGCCTTACCGGACACTGCTCTAAAACAGGTCGCTCACCCCCACCGTAGGTCTGAATGACAGAATCACAAAGAGCCATACAGGGTTGGAAAACAATAGCACACCAAATTTCATTCTGCTTTCCCCCCACCGCTTCCAAGATAGGAAACACCGGCACCATTACTGGCTAGCATCACGTTCAGCAGTGCACAAACATATGCAAGGAGCTGAGACGGAGGGTGGATGGGGTTGCATGGATGGGCACCATGAACAAATATGAAAAATTGAGATGATGCCACAACTGCAGACCCTGAGGTGCTGGGCCTAGAGAGATGCCATAGCCTCAGAAGCACACACACAATTCAGGTAACCTCTCTCCACGTGTTGTTTCATTCATTCTTTTTCAGTAGAAGCAGTTGCACCTTATCTACCAAAAGTATAACAAAAAAGAGTGTTTTTCATAGGTCATGCCAATGCTATGCTTAAAAGAAGTACTATATCCCTTAACACAACCCAATTCATTTTTATAATATGTATACTCAATTCATTCTCAGAGAACTGCTGTGACCTTTTGTGCTGGTGTGTTCTCGTTCCCATTCTTAGACTTGTCACCCTTGCTTTTGAATCTTAAGACTCTTATGGCTTCCAAAAGTCCTCTGGGAAATGTAAATATGCCTGAGCTGGGTCTCTCAGCTGTTCTGTTTGCATTCCATCTTGCATTAGGGACTTTGTAATTATAATCAGTGTTAAAAAAAAACAAGTCTGGGACCACTGCACTGCCAGGACAAACATTGCCCTCTTAAAGAATCTGAGGAGAATGGACAGTGGGGTTAGTGGTCATTGTCCTGGAGCTGGACACACCCATCTCTCCTTTACCTCACAGAAGGTTCCCTGAGGGCACTTTTGCCAATAGCTTCTTAGCAAATAATATTCATTCATTTAGTCATAATCGACCCATGCAATATAAATATTTATTGAGCATCAGGTATTATGAGGTGCTATAATAAATGAAATTTATAATAATTATAAGAACATAATTATAAGAACATGTATTTATAAGAATAATAGTTATTAATACATGCCAGGAAAAATGCCACGCGGTTTGCTTGAATTATATGACTTAAGTTTTTCCACAACGTCATGAAGGCAGCACCATAATTATTCTTAATTTATAGATGAGAAAACTGAAGCTCAGCAAGGTTAGGTGACACAGCTACTCAAGTGGTAGAGCCAGAATCTAAACCTATGTCTGCCTGAATCCAAAGGCCATGTTCCTAAATATTGCACCCTACTGGCTCTCAGAGTCTGTAGGGAATGCTGTTGGTGTCCTGCTCAGATCCTCTACACCTGGCCAGTGCGCCCATTCCCCAGTCCTGGGAGTATAGGGTGTGATTGCCTCACAGCTGACTCTTCAATGGAGAATTGTTCTCGGGCTTTCCCTGGCGAGGAGCCAGCAGTCAATAACTAACTGAGGTGGTTTTTAGGAAGCCAGCTCCTTGCCTCAAAGTACAACCAACTCTGCATACAATTCTTGCTTCAACCAAGTCTCCAACTAAGACCACATCATGCTGAGCTTTCTTCTTCCCTTAGCGCAGTGGTCCCCAACTGGTCTGTGGCCTGTTAGGAACCAGGCCACACAGCAGAAGGTGAGCAGCCAACACGCAAGCAAAGCTTCATCTGTATTTGCAGCCGCTCCCCAGCGTTAGCATCACCACCTGAGCTCCACCTCAGATCATGAGGCATTAGATTCTCATAGGAGGCCTGGTCCCTGGTGCTAAAAAGGTTGGGGACAGCTGCCTTTGGTCTATCCTGCTTCCTTCAATACCCTTCATCTAAGAGGCTATCTCAATAAATCACTGTTACCAGAATTCACATGTCAGGCTCTGTTTCCAGCAACCAGATCTAAAACAGTTGCTTCTGGAAATGGCCCTAGATGGGATGTGGAAAGAGATCCCTCACCAGCTGAATGAGAATATAGGCCCTACCACTGGTGGTAGAAGGGGATGGGACACAGATAGAAGGGGATGATGAACTGGTGCAACAGCTCTGACACGTGAGAAGTATGAGGCAAGTAATGACTATTAGGACCGTGGGATTGGGTGGCTTTTGCTAAATCCTCTGGTGCACTGAAGAGAGAAAATGACAGATCTATCAGCCACTGAAAGCAAAGTGTGAGAGTCAGAGGTCTTCTTCAGCAACATTTAAAGAAGTTACTCCTCTCCAGTGGTGAAGACCAGACACAGGACCTGCTTGTAAGAGAGACAGAACTTCACAGAAGGCTGGATTCTAAGCCTGGGCAAGTCTCCTATACCATTGTCTTGATAAGAAAAGTGGGATCTCTCATCCTCCTTTATTTCTCACCCTGCAGAAGTGCTGGACAGCCCAGCACTACTAAAGGACTGTTAACGTTAAACAAGCTAATGTACCAAAATCCCTAGTACAGGATGATGCCCAAGATGCACCAGACTCATAGTAGATAAATCAAACTCCCAGGGGAGTGGCTTAAGGGACAGGCAATTGTAGATGACAGCAAGATGGGGAGGAGGCAGGTTCAACCTTTCAGGAGCTCCCAGACAAGGGAAAGAACAGAAGAAGAGCATAAACAACTTTACTAAAAGGCAGAACAAGGACCGTGAAAAAGACACAAAAAGCATTGGGAGAGATCACATCTAGGTCTCTCTCTGGACAGAAAGAGGGTGCGAAAGGATCAGGGTGCCAGGGGTGAGGTGCCCATGACTGCGCTGTGCAGCCTGAGTCGTTACCTTTCTGGCCAATGCAATCGCCGCGATGACCGCTATGCAGATAATGACTAGCGCTGTGGCTCCGAGTAGTGGGGTCAGGAACCTAGAGCTGTGCTCAGCCTCTAGAGAGGACAAAATAAAGGGAGTGGGCTGAGGCCAGAAGCAAGGGGAAGGTGCAGCATCAGGGCACAGAGGCGGATATTGGCCAGGCCTTTCTACACCCACACACAGCACTGGAGTCTCTAAGCTCAGCTTTTGGGAAAGCAGAGTATCTGCCAAGTCCATCATGAAACACTGACTGATCCCTTGAGCAGTGGCGGACCTCACACGTGTGACACCAGAGCAGACCATTTTTAACACTCCTTTCCTCTGTGTGGCACACTCACCATTACTAATAATCATGAAATGAAATGACATCCAGAAAAAATGGAAAATGAATATTTTCTTTTGTTACACGTCACATTTATAATCATACCAGTAAAAGTATTTTATTTAATTAAAAATTAAAATTAAAGTACAAAAAAGTAAAGAAACCATACAACCTTTCACCTTAAGCCCATAATATTTGACCACCTAGGCTGAGACCCCAGAGGGAGTGAGGTTCTGGGGCTTTCTTTATCTTTGCTGTTTCTCAGCACTTGACACACAGCAGGTGCTTAATAAATATTTGTGGTATGAATTAAAGCATGAACAAGTGAACTTCTATTAAGATATAAAGTGTAACTGGAAGGAAGAAGAGGAAGGAAGGGAGTTTTGAAGAGATGAGTGATACTCGATCCAAGAGAATGTGAGAGAAATCTAACAATTATCTGGATGTGTGCTGGGCTGTAGGAGGAAGGGTTTCCAGGCTGCTTCATCCCATCTCCACTTCCTTCCCAGGTGTCCAGAGAAGTCTTGAAAAGAGAAGCGTGTAGTAGAGGCCAGGCTCACTTCCTTTGAACTAAAGGCTTAGATTGCCAGAAAGGTGGCTATGGAATGCAATCCCTTAGGACAAGGGCAGTGCCCACAGTTCCCACGTGGTACCAGGCAGAGGATGGGAGGAAGCCCAAATCCCCTAGAATGTGTTCCTCCTGCCCTGAGGACTCAGTCCCCTGTCTGGCTACAGGCGGAAAAAAGGGCAGATGGGGAGCAAAGCGGTCATGGAGAACACAGTTGGGAGGTCCAGAGGGACTGCAGAGGGCTGTGCACAGAAAAGGATGTAGGCTCTTCCTCGCATGCTGCATTAGTCTATGTCGGAGCCAGCCAAGAAGTAGCCTTTGAAAACAAACTTCAAGGTAACCTTTTATCTTCTCAGTTTCACATATTTTGCTGACTCAGAAAATTTAATCTCCAACACAACTGACAGCAGCAAATAGAAGTTCTGAGGGTGTAGTTTTGTGAAACCAGAACACCTGTGTTAAAATCAGCTCTAACGCTCTGAGCAACTCCAGGTCTCCGCTTCCACTCCCATCAGTCAGATAGGAATCATATTCATAGCTAACAATTATTTAGGGCTTAGCATGTTCCAAGGCATTTTCTGTTCTATAGGCATTTTCTTGTAATAAGTAATTCAATCCTACATTCGTATCTCATAAAGTCTTACATCTACCTCATTGAGAAAATCTATGCACAGCAGAACCAGGATTTAACCTAGGTTGTCTGGCATCAGTCTGAGTTCGTAACCACTCTGCTATACTGTCTCTCAGATATGATAATAACCCTTTCTCACCTTCCAGAGAACTGATTTCAGTGTCCAGGTGGATAATGAATGTGAGAGCATTTTGATAACCATGAAGTATGCACGAATGTAAATTATTACACATTTACACCTAGCACACAGCTTTGTTTTTAACCAGGTATAATCCTTTATAAACTAATTTCCAAGATGGATGCTAAACTAATAAATAAGAACCTTTCCCAGATGACCTTACAACTTGTCTTCCTAGTAAATACACTTAGATGTCCTTCTTATACCCAAAAGTGTGGTTCACAATCCTGGCTGCACATTCGAGTCACCGATGACACTCTTAGAGCCTATCCCATCCTGGCTCTGCCCCTAGAGAATCTGATTGAATTGGCCTGGGATGGGGCGCTGCCATCAGCATCATTGAAAAGCTCCCGGGTGATGTGAATACGAGCCAAGGGTGAGAGGCCCTGCTTCGTAGTGTTTGGCAGGAACGCATTTTCTACCCTAGAGGATGAGGGTCATCAACCACTCTGCTCCAGAGGGCATACCTGAGTTTAGCAGGACCTTCAGGAAGAGTCTCCCTTTGTACATCCCATCGGGGAAGGTGTAATAGATGCAGAAGTACTCCCCTGTGTCGTTCGCAGTCAGCGAATGGAGGGTGAGGCTCAGGTCAGAGCCGGGGACCACTCGCTCCCTGAAGGCTGGGGAGGTGTGCCACCCCATCTTAGCATGATGAATGGCCAAAAGTTTGTCCTGCTGCTCCCAGTTGACCTGAGTCACTGCGGCAGTGGTGAAGGAGAGGTGACATTGTAAGTTGACAGAGCCACCTTCCTCTGCAGAAATGTTCCCCACAGTTACTATTCTGCCTGTCACAGCTCCTAGGGAAGGGGAAAAAGCATGCATGAGTCCTAGGTCAACAGCTGACCTCAAACCTTCCTGTAGAAATTCCAAGGAGCTTTGAAGCTAGAATTGGTTTCTGAATAATAGTCTCCCCAACTCATACTGTCACTCCCCGATCTAGACTACAATTGCCACACAACATAGCCCTTCACCTTCTCAGGATATTCTGCTGTAATATAGTTTCACGACCAGCTCATTGATTCTTTTCATATGCTTATTTTGTCTCCCTACCTAGAAAATAAACTCTGTCAGCCACCGCTTCTGTTTTATTGAATCTTCCAGCGGCTTAGTTCTGTGCTGGACACATTATCCTTTGAAATAAAATCTGGTCATTTGGTTGATTGCCCTGTGGGGTGCCTGGAAAACCCATCAGGAAAGTCATGAAATTCAAAGGAAAGGAGCACTGGGGAGAAACTGTTTCTCCAAGGTAAAACCACCGTTTCAGCTCTTACCACTCCCAGCACCCCCGGACACAGCTCCACCCTCAGATGGTTCAGAAAGCAACATAAAAACTAATTTACACTATAGTTTTTAAATATTTGTGTCCGCTTTTAATACATAAGGAAATAGATTTAACATACATTCAATCTATAATGGCAGAATCTCCAGAATCTGGGAAGAAGACATTTTGATCCACAGAAAATGTACAACGTTTTTCTAGAAGTTTCCTCAAGGATGTAAGAACAGACGATGGAGCGGAAGTGAATTTATACTAGCAAATTGATTATTCTTTCTTCTTAGTCCCTATCACTCCTCCTGCTTCCTTTCTTGTCTTGGCCTGTCAGACACCCCCAACCCCAAGTCTTTCATCTGCCACCCAAAACAGAAATGTGCTTCCTTCTCAGAGAAGAGAAGTGGGACACAGGACTCTGAAAACTGTTGTTTCCTTCCCACAGACAGATATAGCATTCACTCTCAGCCTTCCCCCCACAACCTCC